CCCCCCCCCCCACTGGGTCTCGCCTGCTGGGTCATGGAGGTGGCTCCTGGCTGGAGCTAGCTGGGCCTGGCTGAAGCCCCAGGCCACACTGTGGGTGCAGAAATCTGGGGGGGCACATGCCTCCCCCACTCCCCTGTCCCATCACCTGTGCCCCCCTGTCCTCCCCACACATCGATTGTACCCATACCCCCCCTTCCCCACACATCCACCGCCTTTCTCACACTGGGGACCTGGGGGCCTTGTGGGTCAGGAGTGAGGGGCAGCAGCAGGGCTGGAGGGGGGTTGCAGGTTGGGAGTGAGGGGCACTGGCAGGGCCAGGGGATTGAGGGTTGGGAGTGAAAGGCAGTGACACGGGCAGGGCAGCGGCATATCAGGGCTGCTCAGCACCACAAAGCAGTGGAAGGTGGGGGGGTGGGCAGTGGCAGCTGGACCTGTGTCCTGATGAGTGAAGGGGTAGGGGTACTCTGATTTTTCCATAATAAAAAAAACCAAAATCAAATGCCAAAATATATAGGTATTTAGAATTTATTTTATTATGATGATTGAGGCACTAGTAGGCTTCCAAATTGCTTTAAGATTGTAAATATACTAATAAAACATTGTGTTCAACTATTATATATATATTACATATATATTAGGGCTGTGCGAGGCTTTGGATTGTGCTTTGGATCTGGGGCCGCTTCAGCGTCTGAAGCAGCAAGCCGGAGTGAACTGCGGGCTCAGTTAAGATCTCCGAAGTGGTTTGGAGCTTCCAAAGTGCTTCAGAAATGCTTCGGATGCTTCGGCCGCTGAAAGTGAAAGTTTGAGGAGGGAGGAGCAGTAGGGGAGGGAGGGAGAGTGGAAGTGGGGGGAGGGAGAGGGGGAGAAGACTGACATGTAGGTGGCCAGCGAGAAGGATTTCTCTCTGGCTGCCCTTCCAATGACAGCGTCTAGCAGGGGACCTAGAAACAGCATAAAAGCCTCTGTTTGGAGGTGTGCTGTGCCTTTTCCTAGCTTGTTCCTTCTCAGGAACTGCGTGAGAAAGGAACCCTCAGATTTGCGCATTTCAGCTTGCTTGCTTTACTCAGTAGTTGAACTTGCCTGCTCCTTGTTGTTGTTAGAAAGGATTGGGTAGGATTTAGTTTATCTTAGCTTAGCTATTCAATTACTATTACTATTACTATTCAATTCATTTCTTTTAATTTATATTTGCTCTTTTTTTTGTTGTTGCAAACTTTGAAAAAAGAAAGCTGTGTTTACCCTGCCAGCGTGATCCATCACTGTGCAGGGAGGCACACACATTGCACAAATGCACACTCATATACAATATTAAGAAGAAAAAATCAGATATTCATAGGAGAAGACAGACAGCACACAATTTTTACATAACTCTTAACACTGAAGCAAACAGTCAAAGAAGAGTTCAGTGCATGCACACAACAGAGGGAATAAAACATAATACAAAAGGACTGGCACACACACACAGACCTTTTGCAGCACAGGAAAGATCAATATGAAGTGTGCTGGAAAGTTAGGTGCCAGGTCATCTGGCAGGGGAGGGAGAGGAGGTAGGGGGAGAGCTAGAGCTGCAAGTCGTGTCCGTCCCGTCCCCGTCCCCACCCAACACAGATGCATTCTCTTCCCAAGCAGCCATGACATCAGTGCTGCCAGTGGAAGCCAGGCGGGGGGAGCAGG